AAAAAAAAAAAAAAAAAAAAAAAAAAAAAAAGATTATGGTGAGATGCCTGGGTGAGCTGCAGGCTGCACACTGAGGAGAGCCCTGGGGGTAGAGGGAGACCAGAGGGCTCAGTCTGGATGTGTTAAGTTAAAGATGCCTGGAGCTCATTCAAGCAAAGATTATTAGGAAACAGGTGGGTATCTAAGTCCAGAAAACTTTGGCTAGCGATAGTGGGTCGTCAGCACCCAGAGGATACCTGTAGTCAGTCAATGAGTAAAACATTGTATTCGAAGGGTGAGAGGAAAACACAGGAGTGAACCTTCTAGCTCCTCCCAAATTAGAGGACAGGGAGGGAGGAGGGCTGGAGATTTGGCTCAGCGGTTCCACTGCCTACCTCATAAGCACAAGGGCCTGAGTTTGATCCCCGGTACCAAAAAAAGAAAAAAGGATAGGGAGGAGAATAAAAATTTGTCACAGAAGGAACAGTCGGTAATAAGAAATGCTGCTGAAATAGCATTAAATTCAGTTCTGAAAAATGTCTATTGTATTTAGAAGAAAGAAGCTGTTGATGATCATTGGGTGAGTTTGAGGATATATAGGCAAATTGGAGGTTGAGGACCACTTTGTTGTGTCAAGGAGCCTAATTGAGAATAATTAAGTGATCTACCACCTCCTGTTTCTTTTTTAATGTTTTTTTCTCTTCTAATTTTAACAAGTCTCTGAACTTCTACCCACCACTAAATTGTCACCTTCTTATCAAAGTCCCGATGGCTAGCTTGGCAGCCGGGAACTTTTTCCACTTGGTCCCTTTGGTAATCGGCTCCCTATCAGTAAGCTGACAGAGACTTGTTTGTTCTGGTTCAGAATGCGGCTCCTATAAAACCAGTCCTCAGATGCTTGCCTTTCCGGCTTCGTGATTACATTCACAGTTCACTGGTGTCATGTTTTTCTTTTCTTTTTTCTTTTCTACAGTAAACACACACAAACACACAATCCAAAAAAAGTAATAAGTTTTAAAACATTAAAATTAAAAATAAGGCTGACATCATATTCTTGATTATTGATTGATACTTGCAGTGCATATTTTCCCCGAGTTTTTAGCCAAGGACATTCTCAGCACATAGTTATTTCCTAAGTACAAATTTTATTCCCTTCTTGTTTCTTCCCTCAAGACATTATTTTTCTTTTTTAAAATCACAATTCCAGGATGTTATTACTTGTCCTTTATAATTAATCATCCCCATTTCTTTTCTCTGCTTAAGCAGCATAAAGTCTCTCTGTCATCTTTTCCGATTTTCATTTCTTGATTTTCACTTTGTAAATAACTCCTTGAAGCAATAAGCGATTTGGCAAATTACATGGAAATGTTAAGGGCATGACTGTTTTATGGCACAATGTGCCATGTTCAAACAACATTTTTCATTGTTATACCGTCTCTCTTGTTATCAACACATTAACCTGTAAGGTACTGAGCACCTTCTGGGCAGCAGCTCAAGACGGTGCTACAGATATCAGTAGCAGATCAGGGCTGAGTTCAGTGTCTGGCACCTAGTACCTATTCAGTTAGTCCACGAATTAATGAAAACCATCTGGCAGCCACTAATTCTAGCAGGATGTTTGGAGGGAAAGAAGAGATAAGGTTAGATGCCACACGTGGAAAGCTACAGAGATAAAGCCATGACAGCATCCCACAGGGAAGTGATGGTCTCTGTCATGGTCACCCACATGGGGGCCAATCAATGGATGGCAGGTCCTGAGGACTTTTAAGAATTAGCACAAATGGGTAAAGCACCCCAACTCCCTAACGCAGCTCCTTAGATGGTAAAATTCTTTTGATTGGAAACATCACCAGCCAAAGGAAGAAGAAAATTTTACCAGCTCCAATTAAACAAGGTGAAATTAGCCAAATAAGCTGAGAACATATCTTAGTCTACTTGTGCTACTATAACAAAAGACCTGAGTAATTTATAAATAATAATTTATTTCTCACAGTTCTGGAGGTTGGAAATTCCAAGATCAAGATACTTACTGTTAGGTTTATCTAGAATGAGAAAACTGATCTCTAAGACCTGCCTCTATAATTCTATGAGTCTTTAGCTCAGTTGCTTATTGAATGTTTTCCCAGAATGTTTGATGCTCTACCATATCGTGGACATGAAGATAGTATACAAGCTGGTTACCACACTGGGTTTGTTCTATAATTTAAAAATATGTCAGGTGAGAAAGTGTTTTGAGCCAATTTATTTTGTTTATTACTTACTATTTATCTAATTTTTCTTCTATGTAAACAAAACTGCTTCCTGCTTAGGGTTAGGACCTTGGAGATAGAGCAATGGAGAAATCTACTTCTCACAGTGGCATTGACCGTAGTCCAGTTGTATTGAGTTCAGAATGATGTGAGGAGCCAATAGCAATGAAGCAGCCCATCAGTAAATGAAAGATTGAGTGAAAAGAGCACAATAGTTTGTTAGTATTCCCAGCATAGAGTGAGCACCTAAGAGGAGATCAAATCCACGAATGCAGATTATTCATTTTGTGTGTTGATACAAATAATTGGTAAATTCTATATATTACATAGTGGTTAAACACTCACTTAGGGTTCAGAACTGCAGTTTCCTGATTGAATCTAGTGGAACAATACATGAACAGACTTTAGCACATCTTTGGAATCTCTTTAGTGATTCCTGTTGGATTCCAGTTGGATTTTCTTGGACAAGGCAATACAGATGTCTAGCTCCTACTGGGAGCACAAGGGACAAAGATGTTCTGCTTTAGGGAAAAAGGAATAGCTTTTTAAAGTTCATTCTCTTTTCTCTCCCAGGGTTATTCTCCTGGGATAGTACCTTTTACTGCCAAGAGGTGAGTAAAAAACACTGTCAGGATTCAGACTCCATTGTCGATGGTTAGGCTGTTTTTACAACTCCTTTCCATCTCAACAGCTGAATGTCCAGAAGACAGTGAGCATTTCCTTCTGTTTATCCCTAAAGGGTCCATGGAGACATTTTTCATCATTTCCTGGCTTGGTGAGAGAGGATGTTGTTAATCAACGGCCATCTCAATGCTCAGATTAGGGTCAAGTCTTAACAGGCAGCTGGTTCACTTCACTGATAAAACAATGAAAGGCCTTGCTTGTAAATAGTTTTGACTGTGCTTGCAACCTCTTAAATTAGTTATGCTACCCTTATGTTCCCCAAATCCTGCTTCAAAAGTTCTACTCCTTTCCCAGGATGTGCATTGCCCTGGTTACTAATCTTCATAATCAGTTCCTGGAGGTTTCCACTGGGGCTCTCGGAGAGTCTTGTGGCAGCTTTCTCCTTTGCTCCTGTGTGTGATGGCTTTGAAAGTGGTGGGACACTGTGGACTGCTGTCTGTTTGCCTGTTCCCATCATGGGTGTGGAGTAGGATGAGGAGGAATGATCCCTGCTAGGATCTGAACATTCTATACTACTGAATTTCTCTACTATTTTATATCATGCCTACATATCTTTCTTTAAAAATAAGAAAGGTAATTTATTCCCAATCTATAAGTTCCGTTAGCAGTTGACATGTATCTCCTTCATCTTAAAAATAAACAGGTTTGGATAATGAGAAGAGAAAAGAACATCTGCCCAAATTAACCAAAAGAGGAGAGGGACTAAGAAGTAGAAAAGAAAAGCAGAAGTAAAAGGAGAGTGAAGAAGAGGAGGAGGAGCGGGAGGAGAAAGAGGAGACAGATAATGAAATAAGGCCATTTTTAAATTAAGGCATTTGCCTTTATCTCTTCCTAAGGTGACCAGAAACCTCCCACCCCAAGAATCTCTGCAGTGATTCACTGCAACAGAACTTTACACTCCTCATGGGTTTCTTTCTTTCCTTAGACAGAAGTTACCTCAGAAGATTGACAAGATTAGTGAAAACAGCTCTTCGTTCTATGGTTTGTAAATCAGTGGGATGAGGGGAACAAGGAAGAGGAGAGAGAAGGAGGAAAAAGGGGAAAGGGGAGGGAGAAAACTTTTCAGGTCTAAGTCAGTCTTTCTAGGAGTGGAGTCTGAGAGTTTGGAAATTTGTAACCTACGGGATTTTTTGATTTTTGATGTCAGAAAAAATTTGAGAATCATCATTTTATTCCACAGAACCCAGAGCTATTTCGCTCCCTGTAAAACATAAAATTTAGCAGTTTTGGTAGCACTGGAATCATCAGGAAAGGAAGGTAGGTGTTGTGTTGTTCAGTGAGAAGCATCCAAAAACACTGAAGAATATATATATAGATATAAATATATATATATATACATATCTATATCTATATATATGTATGTATGTATATATATATGCACACATACAAATACTGAAAAAGAAAGGAGTTTCTGTGCTGCTATGCCACAGAATTGGCCATCATAAAAGATGAGTGATCACCCATTTAAGAATAAGAACTAGAAGCTGGGTGTGGTGGTGCACGCCTGTAATCCCCAGCACTTGGGAGGCTGAGGCAGGAGGATTGCTGTGAGTTCAAGACCAGCCTGGGCTACATAGTGAGTTCCAGGTCAGTCTCAACTATGTAGTGAGAGACCCT